AGTTAGTTAGTTAGTCAGTTAGTCAGTTAGTCAGTTAGTCAGTTAGTCAGTTAGTCAGTCAGTCAGGCAGTTAGTCAGTTAGTCAGTGAGTCAGTTAGTCAGTTAGTTAGTTAGGCAGATAGATAGACAAATAGATAGGTTGACGCTCCAACCACCTTTCGATCCATCACTGGATTCGCTCTGCCATCCATGACTCAACACAACGAACCTCTCCTATAGGTTTCCTATCTTGAAACTTCCGCCACCGCCTTGTGCGGTACTATGTTAAAAAATATATATATATATAATATACACATAGGTCTTAAAACCACCAAATTAGCATTTAGTTCTTCGATTTCCCAGCTAGCCATGTTGACACCGGGACGGTAGTCCGTGTACATGTATACATATATTTATACACATATGTACATACATACAATGTGGCCCCCCCCCAGTTATAAGTTGGTATATAAACCCCAGTAACGATAGTTATAGGTACCATTTAACATAGAATTCACCCAGTTATGTGCACCGACTTGGCTATCATAAGCGGGGGCACCACATTGTACATACATATATATATATATACCCTATGGATCCAAACACTGTCTAAGAAGGTACTTAACCCTCCAAATGATAGTAAATTATAACCCAAACGCTTCCTCGCAAGGTACTTGGATCCATAGATATATATACATACATATAAACCTCAATGTGAATGTTTCCTGAAAAAATCCAACATGTTTCGTCGTTAGGCACCTGGCGTCAAACTCATCATTCGCGGTCAGGGATCAGTGACTTGGCCAACATGGGCTGTTCATATGCCTGGAATATATCTATATATAGGAAAACCCAAGGAAAACCCTAGGAAAACCATAGGAAAATGCTGGTTTAATATGATTTTCTATGGTTTAATATGGTTTTTATAGGGATGATAATGGGTATATGACTGGCCAACCATTTGAGTGGAAATTGAAACCATAGGAAAACCATAGGAAAACCACAGGAAAACCGTAGGAAAATGGTGGTTTCATGGGATTCTTTGGGGATGTACCCAACCTGGTAATATCTGGGTAAATTTCATCACGACCTCACTGTTTTCCCTCACTGGAATCATTGTTTTTTTTTTAAAGTGGAAATCACGCGCAACTGGCCTTCATTCAGGTTAATGAATTATTTCAATTTACCCTACATATGATATAATATATATACATATATATATGTATATTCAGATATTTATGAATAGAACATGTATACATAATGATATAATATATAGTGGACATATGTATATATATATACATTACATTACATTACACTGCATTACATTACATTACATTACACTACACTACATTACAATACATTCCATTCCATTCCGTTCCAGTCCAGTCCATTACATTACATTACATTACAGCATTACAATACATTACATCACATACATACATATGTATATGTATATATATATATGTATGATATAGGATTTACTCAGCGGTTTCCTAAAGTAGTGGGCCTAGCTTCGTAGCTTGAGAAAGTCATAGTACTCGGATTTGCTGAAGATGTTTTTTGGATGTTTGCTATGGTTTATAGTGGTTTATGTGTGATATATATATATATTATATACTGGGCCCCCTAGATAGCTAAGTTGATTTATAACTCCAATAACTATGGTTTATGGTACGCAAATAACTATAGTATTCCTGGGGTTTATGAACCAACAAACATAACGTTTGTGGGTCCCACATTGTAGACAGGGTTCGAAATGAACTTACCCAGATGCGAACCATGGTGCTAGAATATTTACCTACATTTAACCCATTTGTATGGCCCAGTTGTGTAGGTAAATATATAACACATGGAGCATACGGGAATGGGAAATCCGCTATTTTTTTGTTTGGGTTGATGGTTTATGTGGTCCTTAAAGCACATCCAACTATACATGGGTTGGTTGAAGGTTTTGCTTTGTTCTTTTCCAATGGGACACCTCATGCCATTTGCGGAATCCATAGGTTTTTTTTGGTTGGCCCTCAGAACATCCATACATTTAATCCCATGTTATTGAGCTATGACTGTTAAATTATGTTATAACATTTGGATTATAGTCAAACAGTTATGTAAATCATAATGTAGGTGTATGTTGATCAATGGATGTCAGCTGTATAGCTAGGTTTTCAACTAGTTATAACCACCAAACATCGCTTATCAATGGGCACCACCTTTGGACGTCAACATGTGTGTCCAAAAATCAATCAACATGAGGTATACCCGGTATAATACAATGTGGGCCCCCAAACGATAGCTAAGTTGGTTTATAACTGGGTTAACTATGGTTTATGGTACTTATAACTATAGTATTCCTGGGGTCTATAAAAACCAAGTTATAACGGGGGGGGCCCACATTGTACCTCAACTTAGTTTTTTTTTAGCCAGGACATGATGATAAACAGTGGGATGGAACGGGGTAGCCTGAAGCGCTCAGCGACCTGTTCTTTGCCACCTTGACTGCTTGTGGCGATACACCGTTCTTGACCACCATGAAGCTTTACTGGAAGGCCTGCGCTTCCGCTCTTGCCACCATTGAGCATGAGACCGGCAATGGCCATGCAGAGACCATTACCGAGATCGAACACAATGGGAATCTGAGATCCCTTGAGGTGTTGCAACACCCCTCCTTCCAATATTTGACCAATATATTGGATGACTGCATTGATGCCATGCACCACATCCTGGATTACCTCCGGCTTCGTGGCCATTCCGATGATTTACAGAACCAAGGTCGCGACTGTCAGTTGCTGCTTGAGATGATTTGCTGCATCATGAATCATCCCCATACTCCTCACTACCGAGTGGAGACCTTGCGCGTCAATTTCGCCACCTGAGACTTCGTCCAGTTTCTCCTCTTCATGCAATGCTGGGGATTTGTGATTCTATTTTTGACAATGGCGACCCATTCCAAACCATTTGACTTTGGATCCTTGCAATGATGTGCAATGAAGGGATAGATCTTTCGAGACCAATTCCCCACGTGAAAAAGAATGTGGTCCGGTGCGAGTGAATCCAATTTGTGTGAACATTTTTTGCAGTGATGTTTTTCAGAGGGTCAGCATTTTTGACGATTTGATGTTTTGCGTATTGGCGACGATTTGCGTATGTGTGAATATATATATATATGCATATGTTTTGTTGCATGTTCACACGTGATCCGGCTTATATATGTATATAGTGATATATATATATACATACTTGCGACAACTGGTCATAAGATCTACGAGACCTTGGGTCTTTGGTTCCGGGACTTGGGTTCACCCCATCCTAACTTGGTTGTTATGTTCCCCCCTTGGTTACTTAATATCCCCTGATGAGTTTGGCCTGTCCCAAAAAATGGGATATTTACCAACATTGGCCCGAACAAAATCACCCAGTGTAGATGAATATACCATCACCATGGTTCGCCTATGGGTGGTTTATCAACCAACATTCACATACCCTCTGGTAATTTAAGTTAGTTACACTTCGCGAACTTGAAGCTTAAATGGCTATAGAAATAGGTGATTAAAACCAGTTCGTTCTGCTAGTTGGGTAATCACTACCAGGTTGGGTAACGCATATGATTAAGGTAACGCTATGAAAAATAGCTGATTCCCGTTAGCTTATTTCTTGGTCATTATTGGCTTGGGTAAATCCCATTCCAAATCCCATGAAAAACCATTAAACCACCATTTTCCTATGGTTTTCCTATGGTTTCAATCCCCACTCAAATGGTTGGCCAGTCATATACCCATGAACATCCTTATAAAAACCATATTAAACCATAGTAAATCATATTAAACCAGCATTTTCCTATGGTTTTCCTAGGGTTTTCCTTGGGTTTTCCCATCACCGGCTCCAACGCTTATCTCCCCAGGAGATCATGGCGCTGGATTCGCAGGATCCCGAGATCATCGCCTCGCTGGATCGAGACGTTCCTCGGGGGGGCCGTTGACCGTTGAACCGTTTAAAAAAAGGTGGGTACCCATAGGCGAACCATGGTGATGGTACATTTACCTACAAAACTGAGTAATTTATGGGGTTTCTATGTTAGTAAATATGCCAGCACCATGGAACATATGGGGTAGTGAATGAAAAACTCTAGAGTTTTCTATGGTGGATATAGCTATTCTATAGTTTATGGTGGATATAACTATAACTATTCCCAAACATCTAATAGGTGGGTGGAATGAAAAACTCGAGAGTTTTCATGGTGAGTTTATGGTGATAATGTAACTAGTCTATAGATTCTCAAGTGGTGAACGGAGGGAGCGATAAAAGGAGCGGCTGTTTGGGGTATCCACATTCCCAGCACATCTTCCCTATGAACAATGGGGAGCTGTAAAAGGAGCTACGAAGTGAGTTTCCCAAACATCTAATAGGTGGGTGGAATGAAAAACTGTAGGGTTTTCATGGTGGATATAACTATTCTATAGTTCATGGATGTTTGAGTGGTAGATAGATAAAACGAACTAGGGATTCTAACTATAGTTGATGGTGGATACAGTAGATTTCGAACGATATAGCTAAGTTGGTGCACATAACTGGGTGAATGAAATGAATTCACTCTGGTTTTTGAGGTGGATAGATATATAACGAACTAGGGATATAGCTATGGTGAAAGGATAACATTCATCGCCCATAGGCAAAGCATGTAATTATGGTATATTTACTTACATCACTGGGTGATTTTGTTCGGGCCAATGTTGGGATTCATATTCAAGCAACATGGAGCATATGAGGATGATAACTATCCAAAAAAACAAGTCACTTTTCAATAAAAGGTCAGTGAATTACTAAATCTAGACAATTCTAGACAAATGTGCTTGATGATGTTTGATGTATGTTTTCTGATTATGTTATGCAAGGTGTTCCAGTGTGTTCGCTTTAGTAGTTTGGCTCATGCGGAACCGCAGCTAAACCAACTTATCACTAGGGGTATCACCCTCAGTGCTACTCAAAGCAAACATGTGGGGAGACAGCAAAACATGAGTAATGTGGGTATAACAATAATAAACCATCCCCCATTCATTACCATTTTTATAGGTGGTATGGTGACCATCAAAAAATAGGTTGGTGCCAATGACATTGTTATAGCCACATTAATTGAGATTGTGTATTTTATTTTTAGTGGATGTCGGGTAGAATGATCCACACACGGAAAATGGGTGTGTTTTCATATCATTGAATCTCCTAAAAGCTCAAAGATCTGGGCAAATTATAACGACCTCACTGTTCTCCCGAGCCCTGGGAATGGTGGTTAGTAGGGGTGACTATCCCCTTTTATGGCCTTAATTCAGGTCAGTGAGTTATTACAGTTTACCCGGAAAGATGATTTCATACCACTATCGTATTTATTATGTGTCCATTCAATTATTGTTCTTTTCAGTTTCATCACTATCATTGTTATTATTATGTTATTATTGGATAACTCTGGCTAATTCTTATCCAATTTCTTATCATTGTTATTATTGCCCTTTGGTACAGTAACATAAGTATGGAAAATCACATTTTTCATGGGAAATCTCACTATTTCAATGGCCATGTTCAATAGCAAGCTGTTAGTCATTACCAGAGGGTATATCCAGCAACATCCCAGTATTGTCCTATTATCATCTCTATAAAATTATATCAAACCATAGTAAACCATAGTAAACCCAATAAAACTCCAATAGTTTACCACTTTTCCCATTAAAAATGGTGATTTGACCATCGTGGCTTCGCGTTAAACATGTGGCTGGCAGTGCCTGGCTGTTCCGCACTGAGGCAGTGGTGAAACTTTGGAATGGCCGAACAGCTGAGTGCGTTGCCCAGCTGTGGCATGGCTGTGGATGGCGATTTGCGAATCCACCGGAGCGGTGGTAGATGATGACTGTCCAATGGATACCCTCTGGTAATTTAACATAGCTATGGACAATTGCCATAGAAATAGTGGATTTTCCCATGAAAAATGGTGATTTTCCATAGCTATGTTAAATTACCAGAGGGTAAATGATTTTTTAAAACCAATATAATAATATAATATGTGACCATTGTGACAGGTAGTGCAACAAAAATTACCATTGATCTAGACTTATTATAGGCTTATATGTTCCATTCATCATTGGTGATATACAATGAATATCGATGAATCAGGATCTCTTCCATCGCAAGTTTTTTTGTTCCCATAGCTAGGATTCATGGTAGATACCCTCTGGTCAACGTTTACATGACTATGAAATATCACCATTGTGGATGGGAAAACTCACGATACATGGCCGTTTTCAATAGCTATATGTTCGTTTACCAGAGATTTGTGTAAAACAGAATTAGTACAGTAACATGTCTTTCGGCCCATGTTCTAATGGTTTATTCAAACCACCAATCCTTTATACAAAAACTACACACCACTGAATGCGACGAATGCGGACCACTCCTGATGTTAGCCCTGGATCAATGACTAATGTGGGGTACCATGACGCTTCTTGTTTTATGACGTTTCACGACACGTCTTTCCCCACCAGCTACAGCATTTGCGTGCTTCTGGAGAAAACAATCAACCCATGTAGGGTACACGCGTGAATTGGGCATTCACGACATAGGTCAATCCATTGCCCGCAATGGACTAGTAGCCAGCCACCTACTGCACTCAATGACAACCTCTGCATCATCATCATCATCATCATCATCATCGGCATCATCGGCATCATCGGCATCATGATCACCTCGACCCGGATGTCATGAGAAACATCCCGAAAGGACAACAGGACATGATTGGCGGGCCGCGGGTTACCGAAAAAGAACCGCCACGTGGTGAGATCATGCGAAGCTGAACCAAAAAAAACTCAAAATGAAGAAAGGTGCTTTTGTATAGACTCCAACGTCAACTGACTTCGAACGATGATGCGGTTACACTTTGGTAAATTAACATATACCCTGAAAATCACCATTTGTTAGTTGAAACTAATCTTCCAACCCCAATGACTGCCAGGGTCGAACTGTTAAATTACCAGAGGGTAAATCCCATAAAATCCCATGCAACCACCATTTTCCTATGGTTTTCCTATTGTTTTCCTATTGTTTTCCTATGGTTTTCCGTGTCAGTTTCGGTTTCGGTTTTGGTTTCTCTCTTAATTAAGTTCCGAGGAAAGTACCTGATGCTCATTATCACATGGGCTATCCGTACTACCTCTGCGCTCCTTGGACGTGTTCGGAGACTCGTGTTTGGTTGTTGCTTTGGGCGGGGCCCCAGTTGACGTGAAATGTGAATGTTGCTTTAGTTTCAACCCATGAATTTTATAGATATCATAAACCATAGTTACTTAATACTGTATTTATACTTATTCTAGTTATGTTTGGTTTCACCCCATGAATGTTATACATTCTATAGATATCATAATCCATACTTATTCAATCCAATCATACGGTTAGATTCATGGTAGACTCGAGATGTATAGTTACAATGGGGAACCGCATCATGGGATGCTATGCTATCAGTGAGGCATGGGATTAAACATATATTCAATCAAACACTGTTTTTAAACATCAACGTAGCTTCATTTGATTATTATGTTGAATTTATATGTATATATATATATATGATTGAGCTTTAGTTGGATGATTTTCTAAATAGAATACATACAATGTGGGCCCACAAGTTATGTTTGTTGGTTTATAAACCCCATGAATACTCTAGTTGTATCATTGTATCCACCATAAACCAGAGTTAATTCACCCAGTTATGTGCACCAACTTAGCTATTGGTTGGGGGCCCACATTGTATGACCATTATTATCGGTATCACTCGTATGATTGCCTTTACTACTATTATTACTATTGATCACCAAAAACATGTCTGTATATATATATATAC